TTGATCAAACCCGGGCCGCACGCATGCCAGGCGAGTGCACTACCGCTTGAGCCACATCCCCACCCCAAGAATTCTTTATTCTTATATAGGGGACACATAAGGGGAGTTTCCAWGGAACATTTATCCCCAAAATGACAAAGGGGTAGGATTACAAAGGAACAGGTGAGYGTAACTCAACCCCAGTGGGTGATGCCTACTCCTGAAGCCACGCCTTGTTATCTGAGCTGGGGTAATACCCAAGTTATTGCGACCTGGCACTACTGTGCCAGACTGAATGCAATAATTGTGCATCAGGACTTAAAGTTGTCTGCATCTAGGGCAGCTCCCGACAGACTGGTGTGGACCCCCAGGGCTGGCTTGGAACAATGGCAGGCATGGAGCCYGGAGCCTAGGATTGCAGGTTCTGGCCTGGTTCTGGGGCTAGCCTGGAACTTGGGGCCCTGGGGACTGACTCGGATCCTGTATTTGCTGGTGCTGTCCTGGAGGCGAGGCGCACAGGTCTAGATGCTAGCTCAGTGAGGGCTGACATAGGTCTTGGGGCCTTGGGAACCAGCTTGGGACTTAGATACACAGAATCCTGTGCTGAAACATGATGTGGTACTTAGATCTACAGGAAAGTGTTGAGTGGGTGGGCCATGGGGAAAGCTTGGCATTGGATAGGCCTGGAGCCATTTTTTATGGGTGCCTGCCTGTTGCGTGAGGCCAGGAATGCCAACCTGATGCTGGGGTGAACCTGAAGGGGCTGACTTGGCACTGGGTGGACCCGGAAACTATATCCACAGAGTCTGGACTGGAGGCTGGGCCTATGTTTACTGGCCTGATGACTGATCCTGCAGGGATTGGCCTGGTGCTGGGTCCTTGAATATTGGGGCCACAGAGTCCAGCCTCGTGCTGGGGCATCCAGAGCCTGAATTCACCAGGCTGGCCTAGAGTCTTGTGACTACATTAGCCTCTCTGGCATAGGGTCAATCTTGTTGGCTTAGTCCACAGGTACTGAGCTAGAGTTTGGGGACACAGGGGTTGGCCTTACATTGGATCATCATGGATCTTTTACCTGTAGGGTCAGGCCTAAATTCCTTGGCCTTCAGAGCTATCCCAGTGCTGGAGGTGGTCCAGAGAAAAGCAGCAACAGAGACTGAGTTCACCAGGCTGACCAGRAGTCTGGGTTTTGGGAGCATGCCCAGCGCTGGGGTTTTTGGGGGCCTGGTATTGGATGCTTACCCCACTCTCCTTCCTCCATGTAGGTATCTCTTTTCATGATGAGCTGTAATGTAAAACTRATTCACTGCATCTTTTCTTAATTCTGTGCTATATCCAGTTCCTATAAATGTTTTTTACCTGGTTTCCYTAGCTCGTTTGAAAGTATTTTCTTCCATGGRTGGTTGTTCTAATTGATGTTTTTGTCAGCAAGATATACTAGAGAGTCTTATTCTGCCATCCTGCTGACTGGAACTCCTCATTGCTTTCTTGTATTCTATCCTTAAGAAACAATTTTGCAGTATTTTATTCTTTTGAGAATCCTCTCTCCATATTCCTTTCTTTCTTTTTGTGGCTCTTTCTTGGCTTACAGGTAATCATACTCTCCAGGCTGTTATCTATTCTATTTCTTCTCTGATAACCCCTTCGCTAACTCCTCTTAGGACATATACCTCAGAATGCTATCCACTTTTTCTTTATTTACACACTCTCTGTTATCAATGTCAACTATTCCATAGGAAGTTTTCAGAACAGTCAAGGGACAGTGCTAAGTAAGTATAAGAAGCAATATAAGAAGCAATCTGCCTCGTTCTTTATGCCTTATACTCCATGCTATGGAGAATATGTATTTCTTCTTATCTTAGCCCATTTCTCACTTACCTAAACTACTCTCAGTGATTCTACAGGTGACCAATTTTTGAACAGTATAGCACAACTTTATGAAAGTATTCTGCCCAGTGCCTAATGATGCAAAACTCTTCTATCTTGATTGGTTAACAGTCTGAGGAAGTTTCCAATCCCATGGAGGCCAAAAAGTTATCTATACTCAATGATTTTTTCCTCACTGAGTTTTGAGGCAAGTTCTATTCTAGAGAGGTTGACAATTTTACTGTCTCATTTCCTGCCCTTCAGAATGGGCTCTGCGTGGGCCCCCTGGGTGACAGCTCTGCTAGTGAATCTGATCAGGCTAAATTTCTCCATGACYCAAGACAGAGACTCTCCAGGTAAGTGCAGAGAATGTCTTTCTGGGTGTGTGTGCTAGGATTGGCATGGGGGAGGGGTGTCTTTCCTTATAGGTCCAGGTCACTGGACGGAGTGGAAGTGACTTCTGGCATCCAAGAGCAGAGTTCTTCCCATTGACAGAGAAGTGCTCTTTTCTTCTTTATCATGTACAATGTACCCTGGGAGAAGGACTTCCAGTTCCTAGACAAAGATTTGAGGGTAGGAAGAAAGGAAACGTTTTGTCTTGTTAGATTCCTTATTATATCAATATCAGTCACAGCAACTGTAAAAGCTGGAGRCAGTCTGAGAATAGCTGCCATTCTTAAACCAGGAGTTTATTATTCTGACAATTATAATGATTTCTGTCTTTATCTAGTAGGGGTRTTTATAGACAAATTGTACTGGAAACAATTTCTTCAGTCACTTTTTAAGATCTTATTATATGGYCTCAATTGTAGTAAGCAGTTTTGAGAAGYTGAATACATTAGTTATCCTTGTTCTCAGGTTACTGGGTACAKATAATTTGCCACTGTTATTTTTCTTGCTAAGAAGACAGGCTATGCAAACATGYAGTGATGTTAGACCATGAAAGCACATATTTATGTGCAGAAAACAGGATGTACGGTGCTAAGAACAGAATCCCCTTTAAATGTTAGAGTTTCATTAAAGACAAAAGAGGAACTGACTCTGGGGAAAAGTATCATGGTTCTCAGAGAATAGAAACTACTTTAAGTTTATACTATTCATTAAACAATATAATTAAAAATAATTGGTACAGATTTTAAATGATGATTAAAAATTCAGATGATTTTTCTTATTTAGACTATAAAGGGTAACAGAGAAAAATATAAATATGGAAAAATTGGAGGTTGGAACCTCACCTGAAATCGGCTGCTGAGTGAGAGATGAGCCTGGTTGGCCCAGGAAAATCATCCTTATGGCTCAGCTGAGGAGTTCCCGAAGGGCTCTCTGAACTTAGAAATAAAAGTAAATTTACAACTCAAGATCAACAGCAATTCTTCTTCAAGTCTCAAGTGTCATTTCTTCAGGAAGGTCTCACCTGACCTACCTGCATGATTAACCTCATTTGAATTTTCTTTTATTATTATTAAGGACATAGGATTGAACTAAAAAATCTCAATGAGTCCACAGCACTTTGTAGTCACTGGTCAGTAGGAAGACGCTCCTCTCCTCCYTTGTCTCCATTATTWCTCTCTCCTCTCCAGAGGTATTCATTCTTAGTGTGTCTGGTATGTCTTGAACATGAGGGAGGCTTTTAAAAATATGTAGTCTTATTTTCCTGCATATATTTGAAGTTTTAAGTGTGTTTGTGCATTGAATCACATTGTKTCTTTTCTCCCTAAACACTATACTTTTGAGCATACTGATGTCAAAAGCCTCCTCTCAGATCTGTGTGGTCTGACATAATGTGGCAGGAATGGGACTTCCCAGAGGGGGAGGCTGTTTCATGGTCTCCCTCCTTTTTTTCCCCCCTAGAAGATTTTGTGATTCAGGCAAAGGCTGACTGTTACTTYACCAATGGGACAGAGAAGGTGCAGTTTGTGGTCAGATTCATCTTCAACCTGGAGGAGTATGCACGTTTTGACAGTGATCTCGGAGTGTTTGTGGCATTGACAGAGCTGGGGCTGCCTGATGCTGAGCAGTGGAACAATCGGCCTGATATACTGGAGAGGAGCAGGGCATCTGTGGACATGCTCTGTAGACACAACTACAATTTGGGGGCCCCCTTCACTGTGGGGAGAAAAGGTGAGGAGAAAGGTGGGGTCTAGTGGGGTTCAGGAGTCTGCTCCATGAGAACCTGTCCACAGTGCTTCTTCCTTATGACAGGTAAATTTCTGCTTCAGGATAAATGGGTTACAGGTCAGARAGTGTGTGAATATGTTCTGTCCCCAGCTAGATGTGAGTCACTCGTTATCCTCACAGCTCAGGTCACTGTGATCTTGGTCCMAGACCTCCTAGGTTCTCAGGGTCTTTCAGGACTAGCATACTCTCAATAGAAGGGGTGATTGTAGGAGGATCTGATAAGATCTACAWACTCTTCAGGGGGCATTGAAATAACCTATTTCTTAGTCTTTGAGGGATGCAATATCTCTACACTTSTATTTTTCACTTGGGTGATCTGGGATAGAGATTGGGGTAGTGATAGTCCCTAAAGAAGTTGCTGCTCTGGCTTGGCTGGTCTCATTTTTCTTTCCCTCCCTAGTGCAACCAGAGGTGACAGTGTACCCAGAGAAGACCCCATTCCTGCATCAGCACAACCTGCTGCTCTGCTCYGTGACAGGCTTCTATCCAGGGGACATAAAGATCAGGTGGTTCTGGAATGRACAGGAGGAGAGAGCTGGYGTTATRTCCACTGGTCTTATTAGRAACGGAGACTGGACCTTTCAGACYAKGGTGATRCTGGAAGTGASTCCTTCACCTGGAGATGTTTACAGCTGCCTTGTTGAGCACCCCAGTCTGCCCAGCCCCGTTTCTGTGGAGTGGAGTGAGTAGTTTCTTGTACTCTCTGGGCCTGACTCAGGATCAAACATTTACAGGCTCGGTGTCACTTCCCCATTCATCTTGGTCACAACACAATTCTTYCCCTTGATCTGGGAGGGTCACAAAAATCAGAGTCTTTGCTTTAGGATGGGAGAAAATAGGGCAGCTATTCATCTTCAAGTCTTCCAAGAAATAAGGAGGTTTAATCATCTCATTATTTGCTTCCCCCTCTGGGAACTACTCTCCTTCATGGAATATAAGAATCAATAAAAAATGGGAGGCAACTCTGTGGTTGCAGACTTTGACCTCGGAGTGCCACTTCTAATATTTTTCTTCTCTAAATAGCATTGGTGTCCAGTACAGACTTTGGAATTTTAAGAAGGTGCACCAACTACTKGGTGCTACTCACTAACTTTAAACTTGTTTTCTGCAGGAGCTCAGCGTGAATATTCTTGGAAAAAGATACTCAGTGGAGTTGGAGCCTTCCTATTTGGGCTAACCTTCCTTCTGGTGGGGATCATCATCCATCTCAGGGCTCGCAAAGGTAATGAACTTCTAAGAACCTTGCCACCTGCCCTGTGACTTCCCTGGTTTCTGACTTTCCCTACATCAAGATCTGAGGCAGGGAACACTGTACTTCACAGGGGTCACTAGGATCCCTGAAGCCAGAAACAACCCTAGGGTGAGCAGACACAAGTTTTGACAGTGCAGGCCATTCCCCATTCCTCAGAATAATCAAATTTGGTCCTAAATGGATCATTTCACTGTCTCTTTCCAGGATCTGTGGAGACTCAGTCTGGTGATAAGGTAATATCTTTTCTTCCTTGTCTCTGTGTGGCATCTTCAGACAGTGCATTGGCTAGAGGGAGTCAACGGGGTAAAGGAGGCAGAGGGTGGCCCCGGCTGGTGGTATGTCTCCTGAGTTCCTGGAATRGGGGGTGGGGTTGCTTCATGAGACCTTCATCACTGTTTCCGCAGATCTCAAGAGCTATTCTACAGAAGCCAAACTCAGGTCCTAATCAAAGCTTCTCTSCTGAAACCTGAAGTAGTGCTGTGGCTTAGGAAAGGACATTGGARAGGTCACTRTTCTGGGAAYGACTTTGTTCCATGATCCTTGGAATCCTGTATGGATTTTGGAGTTTTGTGCTGTGAGATCATGCATYCCCCACCCTCTGTCCTTCCTCTCAYTSTGTGCTTYATTAGTTCCCATTCCAAACACATGGTCCAGAAACTTCCAGAAGACCTAACTCTTTCCAGTCCCCAAATATGCTTTTCTAGAGCCCAGCCCTAACCCCCANTTCCAGAAGACCTAACTCTTTCCAGTCCCCAAATATGCTTTTCTAGAGCCCAGCCCTAACCCCCACAATTCCTAATTCTATCTTTCAACTGCAGTCTCCACTGTCTTCAGAAGACAGATGCTCAGTTGCTGTTTCCATTTACTATTTTTTTAAAAAAACAATTATTGCAAAATAAAACAGAAAAMACAGATAACCACACAAAATATATGATTTAATGGATTAAGGCAGAACCCCTATAGTCACCATTTAGGTCAAGAAACAGCACTTTTCCAGCCACTACAAAAGTTTTCATGTGCCTCAGGACAATCAAGTCCCTTTCTTCCCATTTATGATGCCCTCTTTCTTGTAGTTATTTATAGCCTATTCACCCAAGTGTGATTCTTGCACACCACACTTAGTTATCTTTTATGTCTCCTAGACCTCAGGTTTCTCCCCCATCCCATTCTTTTCATTATGATTAATTCATGGAAAAGCTCCGGTTATTTGACCTGAAGTGTTTCCCTCACTCTGGATTTTGGTGCCTGCATAAACATGGTGCAGTTTAACATGCCCCTTTGCCCTAATTTTTTTACCAGTTAGCATCTGGTGTAGAGGTGGGATTAGACTCTGGTTTGATCATTTTGGAAAGCCTATTGGTGGCTGTGTAATCTTTTACCAAAAGACATGTAATTCTACTTGCATAAGAAGAGTTTTATGARGTTAGCAACCATTGATACCAATTGCCTAGTTCTGTTAATATATTTGGGATTGCAACTTGGTGATTTTTCTAGTTTTGTAATCCCTTCTTTGTTTTTTACTGTATATTATTTGTTATTTTTACTGCATTATTTGCATTGTGGGTGCAAAATCTATAGTGGGTAATATTGTTGGTGCCTTAGCTCAATTGAAGGACTGATACCAAGCTCTATAGGTAAGTCTTGTATTCTTYACTGCCATGCACTTTCAAACAACAAATGCCAGTTTTGCTTAAGAATGGTCTTGATGAAGCAATAAAAATCATTCATTTTGCTAAATCTTGAACCTCAAGTATRTATTTTTAAAGTCAGTTTGACAAAATGGGGAGCTTTCCTGTTGCATACAGATGGAAAGGCAGTTGTATCATGCTTGAGTTGTGAGTGGAATCAGCCCCCTCACCATTTAATGGATCATCACTTTTCCTTGAAAGAATTATTGAGAAACAGTGTGGTTATTTAGATTTGGGCATTTGGTATAAGTTTTCTCAAAATCAAGCAAATAGGCCTATTACCTGGAGGAAAATTTCATTGACAATAAAAATTATATTTTCAAGAGAAAATTAAAAAAATATAAAAAACTTATTTGCCACATTTCTTCTTCTAAATATTTCCCTGATGTTATTGGTGGTGATTTGAACATATGGTTTTGAAAGCATTGTTTAATGAAATGTGTTAACATTTTAAAGATCTGCATAACTCCATGAACCAATAATTTCCAAATAATCAATGCATGATGTGGCAAAGTGGAAGGATAAAAGATCCATTCAAAGTATAAGATTAAACCAATTAATTTTTAACACAACAGAACATGATAAGTTCATTGACAAGTTTTCAGATTCTATTTTGTAACTAACCTGTAAAATTCTGCTGCTTGCTGAGTTTTAATGTTGTAGAAGAATATCCATAATATCTGAAAAACTATTAAAATTCTTTCCTTTCTAACTACATTTCAGAGCACAGCCAAATTTCTTCATGTACTTCAACCAAAAGAATGATTGTTACAGTTTGAACAGAGAAGAATACATAACCAAGTTATCATTACTAAGTCTCACAGTAGAGAGTTTAAAAATGAAAAACAATTTCTTATATTTCAGTGTTGTTCTGGGCTGAAAAATATAGCTATTTTCCACAAAAATATGCTATTTGTGTGACATGTAATGCATTTATTTCTGCTATTTAAAGACACACAAAACAAATATTAGTGTTGCTTGACATAACCCATATAAACAGAAGTCCATTTCTTCTTCTAAAAATTTTTAATCAACATATAGAAATTGTACATATTTTATGGAGTGAGGTTTCAATGCATGTAGACATTATGTGATGTTTAAATCAGGGTAAGCATATCTGCTTCCTGAAACATTTATTATTTCTTGGTGGTGAAAGCATTAAAATTCTTTCTGATAGTTTTTTTNAATGATTGTTACAGTTTGAACAGAGAAGAATACATAACCAAGTTATCATTACTAAGTCTCACAGTAGAGAGTTTAAAAATGAAAAACAATTTCTTATATTTCAGTGTTGTTCTGGGCTGAAAAATATAGCTATTTCCACAAAAATATGCTATTTGTGTGACATGTAATGCATTTATTTCTGCTATTTAAAGACACACAAAACAAATATTAGTGTTGCTTGACATAACCCATATAAACAGAAGTCCATTTCTTCTTCTAAAAATTTTTAATCAACATATAGAAATTGTACATATTTTATGGAGTGAGGTTTCAATGCATGTAGACATTATGTGATGTTTAAATCAGGGTAAGCATATCTGCTTCCTGAAACATTTATTATTTCTTGGTGGTGAAAGCATTAAAATTCTTTCTGATAGTTTTTTTTAAACATGTAGAACAATTGTTATTTATAGTCACCCTACTGTGAAATAGAACACCAGATGATATTTTTCTTTTCTATAATTTAGTTCCCATTGATCAACATTTACCCATCCCTCCCCACCCCCTTATTCTCTGAAGCCTCTGGTAACCATTCTTGAATCCTATGAAATTTGACTTTTTTTCAGGTTATACATGAGTGAGATCACATAGTACTTGTTTCTCTGTGCCTGGCTTATTTCACTTAACATAATGGTCATCAGTTCTATGTGTTGTCAAAAATGACAGGATTTCATCTTTTTTCTGGATAAATAGTATTCCACTCTGTACCAGAGTTCTTTTAGCATTCTCAATTTTTAAGGGATTGTGATACCAAAAAGTWTGTGAATTACTGACATAGTCATTGTGTTGTTTGGAACTCTTTATTTAGTAGATTCTTCAAGAAGTTGCCGAGAAGTGTATGAAACTCTCTGGTTGCAATTCTGGAGTTGTATGTTTCTCCATGTAATTCTGTGGTTTTTGCCTCATGTATTTCTGAGTGCTGTCTTCCTGTTGACTCTTTTATCCTCATGAAGGGTTCTTCTTTATCTCTAACAATACATTTTATTTTGAAATGTGTTTTTTCCTGATAGCACCATGGCCACCCAGCCTGCATAGGCTTACTGTTGGTATGGTGTATCTTTTCCCATGAATTGACTTTCACTTCAGTATTTATACTGCAAATTCATATCTTGCCAATAGCACATCTCTGCCACTCAACCTATCAGCCTTTTAATTGGAGGGGTGACTCATAAGGCTTATTGTGACTGTTAACATCAAAGGTTTGGGGCCTACCCGTTACTTTTCCTGTTTCTTGTTCTCTGGAACCTCCTTTTCTGCCGACGACTTATCAAAAACCATAGAAGAAGAAGAAAGGGAGGCAATGCCTTCAAGTCTCTGAGTAAAACACAGTCAATCCATTAGAGTATATCTGTCTCACCTGTGAGCTTTTGGGGGCACCTCACATCCAAATCATAACAAATAGTAATCTGTACTATATGAACGGTAAAGGAATTCTTTAGTTTGACAGCAAACAATACCAGTGGAAAACTCAGACTCCTAGAAAAAGTAAGAGCATCAGAACTGGCAAATGTCTGG